GGGCCTGCGGACGGCACGCACATACGGGCAGAGGGCACTGCCAGAGGCCACCCTCGGGCCTGTGGACAGCGTGCACACGGGCAGAGGGCACTGCCAGAGGGCCACCCTTGGGCCTGCGGACGGCGTGCACACACGGGCAGAGGGCACTGCCAGAGGCCACCCTCGGGCCTGTGGACGGCGTGCACACACGGGCAGAGGGCACTGCCAGAGGCCACCTTCGGGCCTGTGGACGGCGTGCACATGGGCAGAGGGCACTCACGTGTAGGACACACTGACGCCTGAGCGAGTCTGTAGGTTGGACTGTGTACCGCGAGTATTGTCTCCATAAACCCAGTGTCCCCACTTCTCTGTAGGTTTATGAGCTGATCCTGCACTACACGCAGCACCCGGACCACAATGTTGTCACGGGGGCCCTGGAGCTGCTGCAGCAGATCTTCCGGACCCCTCCCCCAGAGCTCCTGCAGGTGCTGACCACTGTGGGCGGCGGCCGGCGGCTGGGTGCGGCCAGGGACGAGCCGGGCTGCCGGAGTCGGAGCGGGAGCATCGTGGAGCTCATCGGTGAGTCCTGGGCCCCGGCGCCGAGCTGTACCTCGGCCCCACGGACCCTGCAGGGCCGAACCCTGTCCCGGAGCACCACCTTGGCCCCACTGACCCTGGAGGTTGGGCCTCCCTCCCCGAGCTCCTCTGCAGCCCTTCCGACCGTGTGCTGAACAGTAATGTCTAATTTTTGCAGAACTTCCCTTTGTACAGCTGTCCTCCTCATGTACGTACACGCAGACCAAGGCTTCTGCCACTCAGGCGGTGAACCAAGACCAAACAGAGAGCACCTTCCCACGGTGCCCCTCAACTTGTCGGCCCCTCCCTGCTCTCACGGGTGTGGGGGTGGGAAGTTGCCCCTGACCTTTGAGTTTTGAGTTTCTTTGACAGACAGGAATGTTCTAGAGGTCTCACACTGGTTTTCTGCCTTTCTGGTCCTTTTGTTCGTTCCCTGAGGCCATGTCTGCACTTCTCTTCACCTCTGGGCCCTGGGCTGAATTCCATTTGCTGTGGCATTGAGCCCTGATTCCAACATCAGATGTGAATTCTCATGGGCTGGTGCCCTGGGACAGTGTCTGCTGGCTGTCCCCAGCCTCAGTGTGTGGCCTGGGCGCTCCTGAATCCTCGCCTGAGGGCCTGACCCCTAGGGGTCCGACAGGGACAGCTGACTCCTCAGCCCTCCCTGCCACTGCAGTGCTGCCCACCGTGGCCTCTACCACAGTTAGGACAGTTAGGTTTGACTGGACATTCATCCAGCTTCATTTGAACGTAGATGTCTGCCTGGGCCTTTGGCACACCTTGGCCTGTCCACTCTTCTTGAACAGGAGAATCCTTTTCTGGGATCCAGGCCGACCAGTAATCAGAGAAGTACCTCTAATAGGTCATCCTTAGTTATTACTTCACCGAAGCCAAGACTTTGAGTATTTTTAATTGGCCTTTGTAATTACAGTTTATTGCAGTTCACTTGGCATTTTACGTCTTGTCCTTACGACTGTATCATTGAGTCTGAACGTACCTCCTGCTGTTGAAAGTAAACGTGCTGGAATACGGTGTTTGCGCACCTCCTTGGAGAGGTGTTCCCGTTTCCCCAGCTCTTCACATGCGGGCAGGCTCCCTGAAGACGCCCCACCCCCTTCCAGATGGGCACCACTCGTTATCTTACTTTGATCTGTCACTCTCTGTGATTTACAGCTGGAGGGGGTTCTTCATGCAGCCCTGTCCTTTCAAGAAAACAAAAAGGTGATTATTTCTGAAATCAGAGCCTTGTGTTGCATCTTCCCGCTTCCCCTGTTCTTGTGCTGCTCTGTGGCGTCTTGTCTGACGGAAACGCCTGTGTGTAAACGAGGCTGGAATCTGACAACTAGGCCCAAATGCTTCTTTGGGGCGGCTTTGAAAAGTTCCTGATGAAACAACTTCGCTTCATCGTAGAGGTCCAGTGCTTTAAATCAAGAACCAGCCAGTAGTGTCTAGAGAGAATCTAGACAAAGGAGTATTTTGACCCCTGAGGGCCACGCTACGTGTAAATGCCTGTGTACCAGTAAAGCTTTATTAACAAAAGCAGGCTGGCTGTCATTTGCCTACTCCTGCTTAAAGGGAACTTCTGTCCCTTATGTGTCTGATGTTAGTCAGGAACGTTGTAAACATTTTTGGGGCATTAATTTGAGTCTGTTTCTCATTTTCCAGCCGTGTTTAATGTCGTCCATGTCAGTGTGTTCTGATACAATTAATCTGTGGTTATCAAATCATAGTGTCCCTGACTCTCCCTAGTAGTTTGGGTGCACAGTACCCCACGTTGCACCCCCAGGTGAATGTGCCCGGGGTTCCTATGAGAGTCGTGACCCGTGTGTGTGTGTGGCTGAGGCTGACACTCAGGCTGGCCTGAGCCCAGTTGGCGCTGTCCAGGAGAGACCACTGGGTTATACGGGGGCTTCAGTCGCCAGGTTGGTGAAACTGAGACCCCAGGCGGGGTTGGAAGCTGGCGGAGTTCTGGGCAGAGTGGGGCTGTGTCCCTCAGTCAGGAGGTGGGACGTGGACACCGGGGTGCCTGGGACTTGTCTCTTTCCAGCGCCAGGTGAAAGAATGACTCAAGTGCTTGTCCTCTTGTGCTGGGCACAGGCTGCAGCCTCCACTGCTGTCGCCTCCACTGCTGTCCAGTTTAGGGTTTAAGATTTTCCTTCTTTAGTGGCTTGTTACAGGAAGAAACCAAACCTTCCCCGGCCTGTTCACCTTGAAACCTGTGAGCACGGGAGGTGGAGGAAAGGCGAGTTGTGGCAGCAGCCCTGCTCCTCCGACTGGACCAGACAGGGTCTGTGTCAGCTCTCCGTGGCCCCGGGGACAGTGGCACCGCCTGTGCTGGTCTCCAGGCTGAAGCCGACCGCCAGGGCTGGTCTCTAGTGGAGCTGCTGGCCTGAACCCTCAACCTTGGGCTTAGCTGCTGGGCACTGGTTCCACAAGGTCCCTTACGAACTGTTACTAGTATAGATGTGTGTCTCGCTCTGCTTGCTTCATCGAGGTTTGTGGCTTTTGTGCATTTACATCATTACCATTTTCTAGTGTCACGTCAGGACAGCTTTGTGGGTTTCTCACACCCAGGACTTACCTGGAGTCAACTAGTTTGAGATCTTAGAAACTGCCGATAATTGTTTTGATTGCGTCACTTAAAAGTCACACATTTGAAATGATTTGTAATAAGATTTAATGCATCAAGTTAAATCACTAGCACTTTGACTTTCTTTTTTATGATTTACGTTATTCTGAAACCATGAGCTATAAAGTGTGTTTTTAGAACTTTGCAAAATGTGAAGGGCTTGGTCCTAGAGCTTCCGTTCACTTGTCGACCATGGAGTCCTGCAGATGACAAGATGCTAAATAGTGACGGTTTCCCGAGAGGCCAGTCTTGGAGTGCCTGTCAGGAGACGTCACGGCTGCTCGTGACCTGGGACCACCAGGGCTGGCGGGGTCTGCTGGTTGTTGAACCGTAACACACCGTTTAGGGTCAGTGGGAGTTAGAATACCGTCCCCTGTGCCAGGTGGAAACCGCGAGAGAGGAGCAGCCAGGCGGTGTCCACTGACAGCAGAAGCGTGGTGGCCTGGCTTGTTGCGTCCTGCCCGGTGGCCTGTGGCGGCACCTCGGAGAGGAGAGGCCGCCTGCTGAGGCTCGGTGGTGGCACTGTGCTTGGCGGGACACCTCAGGAGGGGAGCTTGGAGCTGGTTGTCCAAGTAGCTTCACTGGTTTTCAGCCCAGGAAGATGCCTGTGTGCTGTCCCTCACGGTGTGGGGCTGGCGACGCGGGAGGGGACGTGGTGGCTCTCAGCTCAGAGTGTGGCTGGCTGTACACTTTGAAGGAAGCTGTAGCCCCTGAAAAGGTCTCTCACTGCATCGCCCACCAGGTAAAGTGCTGTTAGGAGAAGAGGAGGCCTTGGAGGACGACTCCGAGTCCAGGTCGGACGTCAGCAGCTCCGCCTTTGCAGGTGGGTCTTCCCCTCTGGACCCGGCTGCCCGCACCGCTCACTGTCCCCGCCTGTGGGTGAGGCTGGGCGGCCTGAGCGCGGCGGGCATGTGGGCACTGTCGGGGCAGTGGGCCGCCTGGCCGTTCACAGCACTGGGGTGTGTGTGTGCGTGTGTGTGTGTGTGCAGACGTGGCCAGCACTGTTGACAGCACTGAGGGATGAGTGTGTGTGTGTGCGCGTGTGTGTGTGCGCGTGTGTGTGAGTGCAGACGGTGACAGCGGGGTGGAGGGGGTGTTTCATGCAGCACGTGGTTGCTGTTTTCCTGTTTGGTGTCGGCTCCCTGTGGGTGGGTGGGTAGGTGGGCAGAGGAAGGGGGCTCATCATGAAGGCCTCTCCAGGTTCCCTTTCACTGGCTCGCCTCATGGAAGCGAGCGCCGACTAGGACACCAGGACTCTGAGTGGGGTGGTCCGGGCTGCGTGCAGCCGATGGGCAGCAGTGACTTTCAGCAGCTGTGGGGGCGTAGGCTGCTGGAGCATTTGGGAAGGGGAACCTGAGCAGGTACGGTGGTGGTGGTGGTAGGGGGTGTTTGTAAAGTTTCGGTCAACTCACCCAGACCACTGGGACTGGAGCAGCCATCTCCAAGAGCCGCCCACTTGCCCTGCCTCCCAGCCCAGCCTCCAGGGACGCTGCTCACGGCTGGCTCACTGTGTGGACCTGCCGGCTTTCATGGGAATGGCAAATGCTCATGGGAAAGTAGGCGAAGAGGCTCTCCTCCAGGAGCGTCAGGCCGGCTCTGCCCCTTAGCCAGTATCTCAGGAGGAGGAAGTTTGAAAAGCAGCTGCCCCAGGCCGCACAGGGGTCCAGCGTGAGGCTGAAGAGTGCAGGCAGGGACCACTGTGCAGGGGTTCAGCTCATGCGGGGAGGGACTGCCCCACGGGTTCAGCGTGAGGCCGTCCGTGCGGGCAGAATCCACCCCACAGGGGTTTCAGGCTGTGGCCTTTCCACAGCAGAGCAGCAGGACTTCCATTTGAGGCTCCGGTGGGTGGGTTTGAACTGTCAACCTCCTGGTTAGTACTTGAACACTCAACTGTTTGTGCTTCATTGGGTTCCTGAGAGAAGGAAAGTCCAGTCCAAAGACTCGATGACGTGCATTGTCCCTGCCCCCTGCCAGCTGAGCTCTGTAAGGCGTCTGTGAATGAGGATTGCCTTCGGGCTGATGCTGGCCTGGTGGACATGCCCCCGGCTTGCTGTCCTTGGTCAGTGTCATGAAATGCCATGGGCGAGGACGCTCACCCCCTGCACATCGTCTGTTCTGGGCGCCGCAGTGGGGCATGTCTGGCACCCGGGGCCACCTGCTCGCCGAGGGTGAGGCCGCGTTGTTGGTGGGGCGTCTGCGGACACTCCTGGGCCTCCGTCGTCCAGCTGCTGCTAAGTAAGCCTTGCTCTTTCCCAGCCTCTGTCAAGGGTGAGGTTGCGGGGGAGCTGGCCGCCTCCTCGGGGGTCTCCACGCCCGGGTCCACCAGCTCAGCCGCCGACTCCGTGGGCCACGACATCATCACCGAGCAGCCCCGCTCACAGCACACGCTGCAGTCGGACCCAGTGGACCTGGCCAGCTGCGACCTGGCGAGTGCTGCCACCGACGGGGACGAGGAGGACATCCTGAGCCACAGCTCCAGCCAGATAAGTGCCGTCCCGTCTGACCCGGCCATGGACTTGAACGATGGTACCCAGGCCTCCTCCCCCATCAGCGACAGCTCCCAGACCACCACCGAAGGGCCCGACTCGGCTGTGACCCCCTCGGATAGCTCTGAAATCGTAAGTGGGTGACTGGGGTGAGCTCAGGGGTCCCTGCGGGGACGCTCCAGCTTGCTCCCATCGTCCAGCAGTCGTCATTCACAGCCGTGTGGAGGTCACCGGCTGAGCTCTTGGCCGAGAGCCTGGCCGAGCGAGCCTCCATTTGTGCCGGTTGGGGTTGTTCAGACTGTGCCGAAACAGTGCACGGTCAGTGTTCTCCAACCTTGGAGGGCCCGGGGTCAGCAGTGCTTTCCGCAGTCCTGGGGGCTGGGGCTGGCGGACCTGGGATCTGAATGCCTTGTGCTGGGCAGTTACTGCCCGCTCGATGGACCCGAGGTGGCCCGAGCAGAGTTGTGCTCCTTCAAGAAGGAGCTGAGCCAGCCTTTCTCCTCTGGGGCCTCGGGGTGGGCCCAGATGCCAGCTCTTCAGTGAACACCCAGAGTCGAGCTGCTGTGCCCTCAGGGCTGCTAGTCACAGGATTGCATTTGTACATATAACACGCACATGCAGGCAGCACAAGTGCGTACACACAAGGCACACACGGCACTGTATTTTATCCGTGTAGACAACACGTACATGTACATGCACGCACACATGCACGCACGAGACTGTATTTTTACATACATCGCGCCCATGCAGATAATGCACACACGACACACAACACAGCCCAGAAACTCGAGGGCCTGGTTTGAGCGGCCTCACAGGTGACGTGTTAACCGTGGGGGATATTGTGCATCGGTTTGTCACCTCCCTTTGTAACCACGGCGTGAAGAACTTGCCGTCTCTGAGCTGCTGCGGAAGACGCATCCCCAGCGCAGCCTGAGCTTACATCCCAGCTTGAACTGAAGACGTTGTACTTACCAGGCTCCTTCTACAGACAGAGCTTCAACACGTGCTGTTCTTGGGACTCACCTTCTTTAACACTTCCTAAGTTAAACTGTTCCTTGTATTGTAGAGGGTTTTCCCTTAAATATTTTATGGTGTTTTGGGGGGAAGTTTACACAGCAGTATTGGTTCCCTTCTAACGGAACCTGCACTAGTCTCTATTGTTCAGCGACGTTGTCTACATTTTTGACGTTAGCGCTCTCCCTGAGTCACTGCTGGACTTGCCCTCGCTCCAGCCATCCTGTTCCCTGGCCCTGCACTCTTTTGTCTTCCCTGTGGAGGAATTGTGACAACGTCCTCGCTCTCCTTTTGTCCCCAGTCCCGCAGAGCTGAGCCACGGCCGTGGGCCCAGGGCCTGTGACGGCCGCCTCGGGACCTGAATTCTGGGAGCGTTGCTCCTGTGGGGATGTTGGCTCTGCCCTCCCTCCCTGGGTCACCTGGAGCAGCCAGGCCATTTCATGCCTCAGTTTCCTTACCCATAAATGGAACGAGAACAGTACTTGTGGCATAAGGCCTTTACGCAGGGTAAAGCCAGCACTTCCTGCAAAGCGCTCTGACCCTGCCTGGCACACACACACTCAGGAGTTCTCTTGGATGGAGTGCCCTCTTAGCCTGTTTACCAGCTGAGCTGGTACCTTATAAACTCGTCTGAAAGCCCCATCTCACTACCGTTGCGTTGAAAGCGGTTCATCGCTGACCCTCCAGGGGCTTTTAGAGCTGCTGGATTTGAACCTCCGGAGAGGCGCTGACTGGATAGCACAGCTGCGTAACTCCCCTAGGCCACCAGAGCTCCCTAAACTCATGTAGGGATTGGAAATTACTGCTTATATTTGACAGTGTATCTTTGCTTTTAATTCTAGAAGAACCTGGAAAGATCTTTTAAAAATCATAAAATAAGCTTTCTTTCAATCACTTTTAGGTTTGAGAGTTCATTTTTCAGTAAGCTACACAGAGTATTTCAAGTTGATTTGAGAAATACTCCCTTGGACTCATAATCTAAGCTTGTGACCAGGTGTACAAGGTGCCTGCCGTGCTCACACTCCGGGTCCGGGCTCGCAGCTTCGGGCTGGCCCGCTTGATTGTCTGTCAGCTGTCTGTCGAGAAGCGCTTTTAGTCTCAGTTCAAACTTAGTGGAAAATTTACTTTTATGTAATGACAGAGACTTGTGATTGGAGTTTTTTGTTTTTTTTTTTTTATATCAGAAAGGGAAATTAAGTTTCCAGGTAGGAATTTCTTTGACAAATTACAGCCTTTTTTTGTTCTACTCTAGTAATGTAATCTTCATAAGACCCTGGCAGTGTGTACACATTCACTCAGTAAGATACTGGTGAGATGTCCACATATGTTCACTCAGATCAAACACACACAGTCTCTCTCTGACACACACACACAGAGTGTCACACACTGTAAAATTGTGACATTGCCATACTCACTAAAATCCAGGTAACGCATCTGCTGGGGAACATCCTGCTGAAGTGTACACAACACACTCGTTCAGTAACACCCTGGCCGCGTGTGCACACTGGGTCACACCCCGGCCGCGTGTGCACACTGGGTCACACCCCGGCCCGTGTGCACACTGGGTCACACCCCGGCCGCGTG